GATTACACTTTTTTTTAAACAAACAAGTAAAAATAAAATCAGGATTGATAAATTGGCACAAAACCATTAATTTTGTCTCGAACTGAAAACAATTATCATTAGATAAAAACACAAGTCATTACAGCCTTTTCTTTCTTGCGCTTAATTGTTTAATTATTACAATACGATAAACGTTTCAGTCGACCCACAGTTCGAATGCATTGGCCAATATTGTTTTACCACACTAATACCGAGTAGATGGAAAAATGAAAATTGGTGTTAAATTTTATATTCCTTTTATCCGCCTCTTCGACTCTTCTCGCCCGGCTCGCATTTAAACGGGCGGTATTACAAAAATCGCGAGGAAATTCAATATCGGGTGATGAAAGAAGGAAATAGCAGATCTGAAGTGAAAAAAGACGTAGAGCGATTTGGAAACTAAGGGCAACGTTTCATGTCTGGAGATGGAGAAGGGTTTTCGATCACGCAGGTCGAGCAACACGATGCAACATTTGCATGATCGCCCTAGAAGATACATGGAACATTATGCTTATTTGTGACTGCAAAAGTTCTACAGCAATACTATTATATATGTAAGCTATATTTCACTTCCGAAAATTGTTATGAGTAGAGAAAACCCATTATTCACCAATAATTAACAATTATATTGTCAAAAGTTTAAAAATTATTTTTATGCTCATAAATTTAACTAAACCAGGGTTTCTTGACTGAAAGTTATTTCATAAAATTAATTAATTAAACAGAAATTTATATTATCATCATTCTAGTCATTTTCTCGTTGGTAGTTTTGTATGGTGTGTTATGGAAAATAATTAACAAAATCAGACACCCATTCATAGAAATGGGGGACTGGCTTTATGGTCATGGAAGCATTCTTTACACCATGCTATAAAGTCTCAACGACGGGTCGTCGGTGGCCGCTGCCGTTTAGGCGTTGACACGGCGCTCATCACTGTAAGGTAAAGGCATGCGCAAAAAATGGGCATTTTTTCAAAAACATCATCACTCCGAAGGTTGATATAACCTCTGCTGTTGCGAACCCTCTTAAAAAAACATAAGAAAAGACTCAACTGACTATAAAGGAGAGGAAGGACACAGGAGAGGATCAGATGCAATGATATCGCTCCGAAACAAACGAAGGAATCGTATCAGGCATTTTCTACACAAGCCTAAAACATGAGGGAAGTATACTTCAATCTTTCAAGCAGAAATACATCCCATCAACGCTTGTGCCTTAAAAGAGGTTACACTAGCAAAAAAATCCTCATAAGATCTGATAGCTAAAAAACCAATAAAGCATGTAAAAAATTACATCAAAATTAATCAGTAAATGCATCCAACACCTGGGGAAACAATACAACCTGATGCTATTCTGTTTGCCAGGGCACAGAGGAATTTTGGGTAACGAGAAGCAGACACACTGGCAAGACGAGGATCTGCAAGACCACACATAGGTCCCGAACCTATACCTGGGATAACAATAACAAAAATAGAATCCTCCATCGCAGAATGGTTCCAAACAAATAAAAAGAAAACAGGTTAAACTCTAGCGATGCTAGACACAGTAAACTTCTGAGAAAACAACCCTCACCAAAATTGGCAAACTCACTGCTGCAATCGGAAAAGGCTAGACTTAGAGGAGTGGTAGGTCTACCAACCGGTCACTGGCACCTGAGAAAACATCTTGTACTGAAATAGGGAACTAGGAATGTACAATAAGCCAGAAGGCTTCAATGCCTGGGGAGCACAATCCCCGCTTCCTAGTAACCTCATTACCACACCATACCATTGGTCTACGAGACACTTTTTTTTCATAAACCGACCCACGAAAAATAACGACATGCGACTGTTTTTCTTTACCTATGAATAAACACTTATTTGTTTAACAATTTGAACATTATTTTAATGATCCAGATTAGGACTGTGCCTAGAGCAACCTTTACTATTTGGCTCAAAATCTATCCATAAAATGAAATAAATAAACTTTGACCTATCGTTGCCGATTATTCTTGCACTCCTGTCCGATGTATTTTATCCTTGAAGACAATTAGGGCTTGACGAAATGACTAAACTAATTATTTTTTACTATGATAAATACATATATTGATAAAAGTTAATTAAGGTTTTTAGTTGAAATAAAAAAGTCAATGGCACGTGCGGGATTCGAACCCATGATCTTCGGCACATACGCCGCTGCTCTACCACTTGAGCTATCGTGACCTCGATCCACTCGGACACTAACCTCCCATCTCAACACCACCTTCTGAATTTTCCCTCCTTTTTGCCATTTTTCAAATGTCGTGTAAGCGGATTGGATTCTCGACGACAAATGAAATGGCGACGGAGAGCTTTAATGAAGTGTACTTCAGTTAATTCATTAAATTCACTAATTTCGTGGTCCGCTTGACCAATTAATACATTACAATTAATTAAGGTTTTTAGTTGAGATGAAAAAAAGTTAATGGCACGAGAGGGATTCGAACCCACTTCCTTCGGCTAGATACGCCGCTGCTCTAGCACCTGAGCTATCGTGACCTCGGTCCACTCGGACATCAACTCCCCATCTCAACCCCACCTTCTGAGTTTTCCCTCCTTTTGCCATTTTTTAAATGTCGTGTAATCGGTTTGGATTCTCGACGACAATGAAATGGCGACGGAGAGCTTTAGTGAAGTGTACTTCCGTTAATTCATTAAATTCACTAATTTCGTGGTCCGCTTGACCAATTAATATATTACAATTAATTAAGGTTTTTAGTTGAGATAAAAAAGTCAATGGCACGAGCGAGATTGGTCAAGCGGACCACGAAATTAGTGAATATATTGATAACGTGAGACCACAACTGACTGACTTTTAGGAAAATGCAACCGCAAGTTCCGATTCCGTGTCTGCCTTGCAAGCATTAAGCCAACCGTAGAAAAAAAAAATACTTACGTGCAAACTATTTCCTACAAGGAAAACTAGGTATTTTCTTGGGTTCTAGGTGGTGATTGTGATATAATCGACAAAACGTCAACAATAAAAACACTTTGTTATTCCCTGGTCGTATCGTTCCTTTTTTCTCAACCAACTGTTAAACTAGTTCCACCATTATATATTCAATAAAGATTTTATCACCAATGTGAAATCTTTATTATAAACACTCAGGAATGAAATTTTTATTTATTTTTTTAGATCAACTTTCATCCCTCATTTTCACCTGATTAAATGTCGTGTTTTAATCCAGATGTAAAAGAAATAACTAAAGCTTAAAAGCGTTTGATACTTTATAAAATCTATAGGCTCTTTCTGTATAACGTAAAAGGATCTAAATAACAAATTTCGTACTTCCGATAACCCTGCCTGATAAAGCTTTGAGAGGTGCGCCACAGGGAATTGGTCCCGTTTTTCTCATATTTGAATCATAATAAGTTTTCAAAAAGACGGTCGGAATGACCTATTTATTGACCACGTACAACACAAACATGACAGAACTTCTTTGGTAGTCAATTGCGACATGAGATTTATAAAAATCTCGTCATGTAATTAACACTTTAGACGCCATATACTCCTATACTCAAAAAACCCCAAATTTCCAAAATAGTACGTTGTATTTAGTGGTTTATTGATCAAATTACTTCTTTCAAATAATTTTTATGTAAGGTTTTGGTTGAAATGAAAAAACTAGTTTCACGAGAGGGATTCGAACCGGCTAAATTCGCAGCTGCTCTAACCATTTGAGCTAGTAGTAGAGCTAGAGTAATTGAAAGAAGTTATTTGGTCAATAGACTACTAAACTGAATATATTTTATAAGTAAAACGAAGCATAAATTCACTAACAGCTTTCCTTGGCCACTTCATATGTCGCCGAGAATCGAATACTGATTACACGACATTTAAAAAATGCCAAAAAGAGGGAAAATTCGAAAGGTTGTAGGTTGTGTTGGAGAGTTGATGTCCGAGTGGATCGAAGTCACGATAGCTTAAGTGGTTAGAGCAGCGGCGTATTTAGCCGAAGATCATGGGTTCGAATCTCGCTCGTGACACTAGCTTTTTCATTTCAAACAAAACCTTACATAAAAAGATTAAATTACAAAATAATATATAAATAATTTATTGTTTTAACTAAAGAAATAAATGCATTCAGTCACAAAACACCTAAGGAAACACAAGACGAGTTATCTATAAAATATTATACACAGTAAAATAGTCTTGTTTTGACTGAAAATCGGAGGGCCCGCTGCTGTGCGCAAGCACTTCGGTCTGGAACAAATAGCACCGTCCAATTTTGTGAGACGCACGGTGCAAACATTCTCTACATGCGGGACACATACGCGGGATTTTGCCAACAAGTAGGTGTCCATGTCAACCTAGCATGGCTGATTCTTAATCGGGGGAGTACAATCCCTCTTCTACAAGTCAGATACTCTGAGGGCCATTTATGGACAGTACTCTCGATACCTGGGAGTATATAAAACTATCAATAATTGAATTTTTCTATTCTTTGAATTACGTGTTTTTTTTAATGGATTGTAAAAAAATGGTGGCTTGTAATAAAGATTACAACGCAGGTTTAATTCAATTAAGTACGCGCCTTAGTGCATATCCTTTGGTAATTTATTACAATCTATTTAGGTAGAGGACAGCAATGTTATCAAGGAACGAGTAATTGAACTTTGGAAAATTACCTAGATGGATCGGAAGGACAATTTACCATTTTCCGAGTTTGCAATTCTGATAAATCGTGTATATCCCATCGAATCTGGTTACCACCATCGGTAGTCCGACATAAACGCATAGAAACTTTATGATCAGAAGGACGCGATTAGAAATTCGGTCAAGGTCGTTACGAAACTGAAAATCGGTTGAATTCGGTTCGGCTTTGTTAATGCGACGATTGGCTTAATTCGGAGCTTGTCCCAGACCAAATTTAATTCATTCGAACCGTGGGGATTCACGAAATTCTGTCATACTAACAGTTCATTACGTCTCTGCAATTATTTTAATTGGTCATACAAATTACCTTGTAGTTTCCCAAATTATCGACGACACAGGGCAACGACGTGTCTCTTCCAAGGGCTACGGTAATGTTCGGTATTGGTTCTGCAAATTTGGGTCCCTCCGTCAGAGCTAAAAAAAAAAACAAAATAAAAAATTAAACGAATATCAATGACATATTAATTCGTTAACTGATTCCTATGTAATAAAACTTGTATTTAATGAGTATGCATATCTAAAACCTTTTACGATTTCTATCTTTAAATCATTTAAATTGTTTTTCGTATAAAAATAAATCAACTTCTATAGTTCACCCATTTACTTCGGAAACGATTAACTTCAGGCAAAAATAGTCTTATACAAACCCCAAATTAATTGTTATTAGTATCGCGTGGTGCTAACAGATTTAACATAACTTTCTCATCTGATATGTTCATTCCTATCTGCTTGTAAACACGTACTTAAAAATGAAATGTTTCAATGTTCTTTTACGTCTATTTAAAATTGGATTGACATTGCAAATTTAAATAGTTGTAACAGAACATCGAAACATTTCATTTTTAAGTTCATATTTAAAAACAGATCAGAAAGCTAAAACAAAATGGAAGATAACATGTGAGAACATATTTTTTGCCTGCAAGAGAAAACAAATCGGGCATAAATTAGAAATAGTCGATCCTGTCAAAATTTTCATTACAGTAAAAGTGACATAAAATAACCTCTAGAATCGAATTGTATGATAAAAAAAATGGGATTCTCATTTGAAATAACAATGGTAGTGTCATTTCCCAGCTAGTTGAGACAATAACGTTCAATTTTTTACCATCACGCAATTGCTATTTAAAATTAACTTGGAGTTTGTGTAAGACCATTTTTTGCTAGCATCAATCGTTTCCAAATTTAATGGCTATAGAAGTTCATACACCCTTATACAGTGGACAGTGTAGAAATATATGAATATAAACAATGGATAGAGTAAGAAAAATTTGTACAAAAAGTAGACAATATAAAATAAGGGTATGTATAAAAACGGAGGACAGATTTAAAAAAGATATGTTTATACATAAATAGAGGATAGAATAAAAAGATGTACATAAACAATGGGCAGAGTAAGGAAATATAATTATATAAAAAGTGGATAGTAAAAAAATTGTATATATAATAAAGTAGCCAAAACAATTCTCATGGTGTTGGTCGGTCAGACGCCTTCGGTATTTTGCCATCATCAGTCTGATTTTTTTTATTAATAAATGTTTTACCATCACGGGATTCATAGTTAAAATTAACTTGGGGTTTGTATCAGACCATTTTTTGCTAATGTTAATCATACCGAATTAAATGGGTGGACTACAGAAGTTGATACACTATATATAAGAATAAATATAAATATTTACATATAATTATAACTGCGTTTTTAACGACATTGAAAGGATAGCAATATACTTATTTCTATAGTCGCAACCTGTATAAATAGCCCAAGTATAGGACTCAGAAGATATGGAAAGTGCTCAAAGGTTTATCCACGGAAAAAACTGTTTTGTATGAAAAGTGTTCAAAGGTTTTTATTTTAAAAGTATTTACCTAACGGGACGAACAGTTTTTTTCTAAAAATTTCTCTTGTCACCTCTTTATTTACTTGCATTGACAGTGAAATTTATTTTGTCGAAACAAATATATTTACCTTCCAATTTAAAAAAATCTCTTAAATCCTTTTAAATAAAGCAGTGATAAATAAGTACTGGGTGTTCCTTGAAGGGAAGTTAAACTACATGTCAATTCGGATTAAATGTCCTCGAAATTTTAGTTCTCAATTAATTGTATTCTAGATATTACGCTTTTTAGAATATTTCGACCTTTCAACTTCACCAAATTCAGTCTATAAAGTCTCTATATCTCAAAAAAATACTGATTTATCGTAAATTTGATTACAGCAATAGAAAGGCCAATAGGAGCCCTATGTTTTCCTTATTTATTCTTTCCTTAGGCAAACAAAACACAAAATCGATTGAAAATTTTTTCCGGATTTTGGAAGTTCTTTTCTATAATTTAGGATCTTCTTATTTCTATAAGAAATAATAGACATTGAGTACATAAAGATGCCCCTACTAATGAGCAATAAACACATGAACTTAATTTCTTAAAGTTGGGTAATTACTAATGTGAGATTAACGTTTCTTATCTAAAAATCTAATTTGTCGATTACAAACAGTTCAAAAACATTAGTAATTAATATTTTGAAACTTCTTTTTAAAAATGATAAAATACAACTTAATCATTGGTAAAAATTGTATATACGAAAAACGAAAAGATTCAATAAATTAAATTAATTGTTCAAATATCAAACTTCTTGAAGAATAAAATTAATAATATTTAAATTTTAAAAGATTTTTGTTTACTTTGATTTGTTATTTTTAATAAAAATCGTAATGCCTACATTCATCACTCATTTTTTAACACATGAATCATTGCATTTATATGGGTGATAACTGACCAACGAGAAATTATTTACATGTCCTTAATGCTGAGGTACAAAAATTAAATTTTCAAAAATGTTGCTTTCAATAATATTTCATATAATAATTTTGAGTATATATATTATAGTAAACATTATTAAAAGCAACAATTTGAAAATTTAATTTTAAGCATTTTAATTAATTTTACTAATCTAATTGTATAGGATTTTACAAAAAAATACTTTCAGGCGAAAACTTTGGCAATTGAAATTTTTACCTGTAGTTAAGTTATTAGTATAAACATCGCCGTAACAGGTAAAAATTTCAATATATATATATATATTGCAAAAAAATGTAATATTTTGTTATCTTTTCTAAATATACTTTTATAAAAAAAAACTGCAATTAAAAAAACAAACCAAAATTATGAATAAACATGGCAGACGACTAGTTCATGCCATTACAAGCATTATTTTGTTATTTTGTAAAAAAAATATATTTTGTTATATTTTCTAAATATACTTTTATTTAAAAAATCAGTATATTCTTATTATACTTATAATAGTATATATAAACTTCGCTGTAACAGGTAAACATTTCAATTGCCAAAGTTTTTGTCTGAAAGTATTTTTTTCCCTGTCGGGCGTAGGCTTTATGCTAAACCAGCAAGGTAGGTACTTCTTGCAAAACGAACGAGCTGAACGCCTCGAAATGTATCGTGCAGTAAATCACCCCCACCATTAACTAAGTCACACACTCACTATCTATTTCCACATATTTATTTACCTACAGCAAAAGTTAAAATAATCTTCCTTTCTCTCTCTCTCTCTCTCTCTCTGTTCAAGAAACAAAGTAAATACATAGCATTTATCGATCTTTGTAGATAAAACAGAAAGTATTATTTAAAAAACCATACTTACGAAAAATTATTCGCAGTGTTATGCGTGTATGTGTGTCATTATTAAAAATGCTACATTAAAAATGGGAGCAAACGGGTTGCCAACCATTTCTTTTTTAAAGCAAATCCCTTAATTTACTCAGAAATATAAACGCTCTCATAAAATAATGAAAAAGAAAAAGAGAGCAGAAAAATGCTTCAAGAATGTAACACGTGTAATTTATTCAACGTTAGTAAGCTGGGAGTCAGCGTATTAAATAAGGTCTGGAAAAAAATTCATTTGAACCTGTTTGTCTCTCACAGTAACAAACAAAGAAATTTGCTGGAAAGTATTTGAAAGCAATGTGCGTTTTCTCTTCTCAAAAATACAGTTAAAAAGCTAAAAATGTGACTTTTTACTTGAAACTTTCGCTTAATTCAAGATAAAACCTACAGTTAAACAAATTTTGAAGTTTGTAAATAAAAAACACACACACAACACAAAGAGTGAGGAAGAGAGAGACAGACAAACAGAATGACAAACAGAGCCAGAGAGAGAAAAAGTGAAAGATAGGGATCCAGAGACCTAATAATGAACTTCGAAGAGGAATAGAGAAAGACAAAACAAACGAGTAGGATAGAAAGAGAGAGAGAGAGCGAGAGAGAGAGAGAGAGAGAGAGAGAGAGAGAGAGAGTGACTAACACCATCACCACAACTTGTCCGACCAATTCCAACATTGTTGAACTAGATCAGTAATTATGAATAAATTATGATTTCGATTAGGATTCGGGTTGTGGTCAATAAATTATTGTACATTTATTATAAATATTAAAATTGTTTAAAAAATGTAATAACTAATATGTAAAATGTAAAAAAACAACGGGAAAATGTAGACTCCCAACCACTACAAAATAGAAGAGAAACATCTATGATGATTTAAACATGAGAAGAATGAAAATTCAGATCATATTTTATGCTAAGTAGGTAACAATTTCTGCCCTTCGCCGCAATTCAGAAGCCACGAATAAGCAGAAGAGGCTAATTAAAATTCTAGAACTGTGTAAAATACCGAAATACACAATAGACCCAGGTAAGGCTGGCGTAAAAGGCTTAACGGCTGACTTCTACGTTCCTTGCTTTATCTTCCCTTATGTTCGGCACAAATTAAATATGGCTCTTCAAAGAAATTCTCTTTCTCAAGGAAACAGTTTTACAAATGCTGATTTAAGTTTGTAATTGCAAGAAAACTTTTGTTTTGTTAAGGTAAGAAAAAGTTTAAGATAATCAAATGAGAAAAGTTTGTTTAACAAATATGAATGCGTACAGTGGAGTTTTACTTTAAAGATTTTAGTATTTGTGGGCTGAAGCATATTGATTAGGAATCGACTTGTATTACAGTTTCAAAATTATTGAACAATGTTAAATTGAAAAACATTGCGTATGAAACAAGACAAATTCTGGACTAACAATAGCTTAATATTCGAGACTCACAATCAGCAATGAAACTTTTTATTAAAACATGTTTTTCTATATAGATATAATCAGATTGTTGTCAATGCAAAATATTTATTTAAGGTAAATTAACAATTAACAACGTTTAAACAATTATTGAAATAATAAATTCCTCAAAGACAATTATCATAAAAAATCTGAGTTAATTATAGTACCATTGGAATTATTCATGGAAATTTTGGAATTCACATGTATATCAGGCTATTTTAAGTTTCAGGGAAAAACATACACCCAAGTCGATAGGGTCGCCATGGGAGGTGTTCTTTATAGAATGGTTGAATTTCCAATT